ATATGTACTGATATTACCATAAAAACTATCAGGTCTGTGCAGTGTCATTGAAATATCAAAAGCAGAAAATTAATTAATTATGCAAATTAGCTAATTAATATATACTGATATTACCCTAAAAACTATCAGGTTTGTGCAGTGTCCAATGACATCTATGTACCAAGTTTTATCAAAATCCAAAGAGTGTTTCTTTAGATATCAGTGGAACAGTCATGGAACAGCTAAAAATCAGCTAATAATCATGCAAATTAGGTAATTAATATGCAAGGATTTTTACCAAAACCTAATCAAATCTGTGCATTGGCCCAGAGCATCTATGCACCAAGTTTCATCAAAAACTGATATACGGTACTTGAGATATCAGTGGAACAGACGGACACACATACACACACACACATACACACACACACACATACATGTGCACACACACACACAGACACACTAACTGCAAAGACTCCCTTTTTGTGCTTCGCACACGGGAGTCAAAAATTAACAATTTTGAAATAGAACACCTTTTCAAATCATTCATGTTACTGTGTTCAAAAGAGCCATTTAAAAGTTACCAACGCAACTCGACCATTCCATATTAAAGAGCATTGGTCCATTGTGCAGCATGTATTCCAATTTCATGTGAAAACATACTGTACTCTCCTGTTGTATATATCACTGTGGGTTCCATATAGAAAGTATGTGGCAAGATAACCATTGTCCTTTAGGGCAATGTGATATGAAACAGCATCAAAACCAAGCCTATCATCTATCTTCAAACCCAGAGCGGGTTTTTGTCATCTAGCGGGGACACAGACAAATCTTCATCTATCTCATCGCTGTCATACAAGTATGTCTGTTGATGATGTCTCAGTCTCTCCGCGTAATATTGCAGTGCCTAGAAACAAAATACATTCACAGTCGTCAGATACTGATACTGATACTTTGGTTCCCATAACATTATGACACCAAATTTGATAAGCTGCATTTTATCTCGTAGAAGAATCAAATATGTAAGAGATTACTGTGGTCGGTTTTTAAGCATAGCAACCTAAAAGTAACATACACACAACGTATACCAGCATATCATTATCAATACGTCACTGTACCCGAAGATATTCATCAATATTCATAACCTCTTAAATAATATTTATAAATTTTAAAGAAATCCATAAAGAGGCTTCGGTTAAATTTCAGCATGGTTTGAAACATTGCTAAAACTATAATTATTTCCCAGTGAGATACCCGAACTGTTGCTATACATCAAACTATACACCCCTATTCCTCGCCAGTTTCCCATTTTTTTTTCATTAATAAGTAGGTTGTACAGTGCGCATGAGCGAGTAGTGCTATCACCATAACCGATCGGCTTCACCGAATAGAATAAGAAATACAAGATTTAGCCCATCATATCTACCAAAATTACGTCATGTGAAAGGTAAAGACAGGAAAGTCGACCAGATGCTGAATGGATCTACAAGATCAACGAGGAGAACGACACCGGACAGAAATGAAAACCAAGATGGCGTCGAGCACATGAACGAATCGCCGCAAATAAAAAAAACAACAAGCAGCCTATCGGCTGAGATAGCTCTGCTGTGAGCAATGCACATTTCAATTAAAGAACTGAAGACATCATTAGAAAATGAACAATATGTATAGTATCAAAGCAATCGGACTTACAGTTTTTAACAAGAAGTCGAAAATATCACTTTCTACCAAAAATGACAAAAATATTCACCAAAATTTGAGAATTGAAGATATCATTACAAAATGAACAAATCTGAGACAGGTCCACATGTAGTACCTATATATGTAATATCAAAGCAATCAGACTTACAGTTTTTAACAAGAAGTCGAAAATATCACTTTTTACCAAAAATGACAAAAATATTCACCAAAATTTGAGAATTGAAGATATCATTACAAAATGAACAAATCTGAGAGAGGTCCACATGTAGTACCTATATATGTAATATCAAAGCAATCAGACTTACAGTTTTTAACAAGAAGTCGAAAATATCACTTTTTACCAAAAATGACAAAAATATTCACCAAAATTTGAGAATTGAAGATATCATTACAAAATGAACAAATCTGAGAGAGGTCTACATGTAGTACCTATATATGTAATATCAAAGCAATCAGACTTACAGTTTTTAACAAGAAGTCGAAAATATCACTTTTTACCAAAAATGACAAAAATATTCACCAAAATTAGAGAATTAAAGATATCATTACAAAATGAACAAATCTGAAAGAGGCCCACATGTAGTACCTATATATGTAATATCAAAGCAATTGGACTTGCGGTTTTTAACAAGAAGTCGAAAATATCACTTTTTACCAAAAATGACAAAAAAGTTCACCAAAATTAGAGAATTGAAGATATCATCATGAAATGAACAAATCTGAGAGAGGTCTACCCAAGGTACATATACACGAAGTATCAAAGCATTCAGGCTTGTAATTTTCAAGAAGAAGTCGAAAAAGTAAAACATTGATACGGACGACGATGCCGGACAATCACTCATATGATAAGCTCCGCTCGACAAAGTCAACAGTGGAGCTAAAAAGTACTGTAAAGTGGGTAATTATTCACTGGGTTTTAATTTAGCTTATTTCGCTGACTGGAAAAATGCGCTAAATTAAAACACAGTGAATATGTAAAATTTAGCATAGAACACATTATCTAAATGACGAAACCGTGAATTTAAAACCCACTGAATATGCCTGAAATGGTAAATCAGTGTAATTTAAACCCAGTGAAAATTAGTCATTTTACAGTAGGTTGTAAGGCAGGTATGAGTAGGTCGAAGGAATGTTTTTGATTTACGTAGTTTTCTGCAAAGACATGTTTGTTGTACATTCCTTCTTCATGCAAGATACACTTTTACCTGGTAAATGTAATTGTATTGTTCCTTTGTTTGTACGGCGTGTGATCTGTCTTGTCTTATCAGACACACCGTATTGGGTACGTTGACAGTCAGTGTGTCTTCCAGACCTCTCATACCAATATCCACAGCAATCACAGTGCCTGTACGTCCAGTACCCGCACTGCAAGCGAAGAACGAGGTGATCAGTTTAGATGGACAGAGTAAGTAATTATTCTACACATTCATGCATTGACTTCCCCCACAGCGCCCTCTAGTGGTTAGATATGTCATTACACCACTTTCGTTTTTACAGATGCTTCATGTTAATCTTTCCTGCACACAACTTCGGATTTTAACTTTAATTTAGTAATTGGCGCCTATACTGTATCACATTCACCTTCATGAATTTAATAATTTTCAAAAGAAATCTGTTGCATAGTTACCCAACTATAATTCAAGCATTAGTGGAAAAGAGTTTGGACTAATAAAGTTGACCAGGTCTAAAGATATCTTGTATATTTCATGGCCATTAA